AGGATTTTATGCCACTACTCTGCTTCCCCATTTGGAGAGAATCGCAAGTCAAGCATTTTTTGAGTCACGTCGAATGACGCGTGCCGTCTGCACTAGTGCGTCGGAAGGAATCCAGCATGTTTGGCGCGAAAATAAAATGCTTGCTCTTTGATCATCGCAGCTGTCTGGCTCCCGCATCTGACGGCTTCCCCATTCGGAGATTCGAAAGTGGTCTTCGCTGTTTCACACGCAACACGTCATAGGGATTTCATTTCGTTCTGCTTAAAGATTTTGAAGAATTTTTTGCAGAAATTTGAAATTTTTCGAAAATGTGGACTCCTCTTCTTGTCAAAACTTTGTTGGTAGAGGCATTTCTTGTCACCAGATTTGTTTTTCAGATTTACAACTTTTGCATCTAAAATAGCATTATTATTGCGAAAGATACATCGAAGACTTTCGCCTGTCGATCATGGCAGATGTGAATCCGCTATCGAAAGAATGGGAAAAATGTGGTACGAAATTTTTATTCGTACTTTTACCGGGTATCTACATCCTCCATTAGGTTTGGTTTTGCGTGATTATCAGAAGGAAGGAGTGCAGATTATGGATTCCTGGTATCAAGCTGGTCATGGTGGTATCAATGGCGATGAGATGGGTTTGGGCAAAACATGTCAGGTAATATTTGTTTGAAAAATTCTTCCGTGATGATTGTATGTTTTGATTTTCTTTTGCAATTCAATGGTAGCAGTAATTAGAGTATTTATCTTTTCTTCAGGAATTTTTTTAACATGCGAATCTGCTTGTTTTTCAGGCTATCGTAGAGATGCTGCGCTTGAAAGCAGATGGTAAAGGACCTTTTCTTGTCGTGTGTCCTCTTTCTGTAGCAGATCACTGGGTTTCGGAAGTGACAAGGTTTTTTTGCAGCTTACTTTTGTACTCAATTAGACTCTGTACTTTTGCTGAATACGTGCTCTTCAGATTCTCTTGCGAGACCCTGAATCCCATTCCTTATTTTGGTTTCGAAGAGACTCGCCAGGACGTCATGAAAAAGTTGGGAAAACTTAAGAAAAACATGGTCTTCATTGTTCCTTATCATGTAGGTCAAACTTCTTTTTTACGTTTTACGGAGTTTCTTCCAATTTTTTGGTTTCAGATTCTTCGACGCGATGCTGAGTTGATAAATAAGCTGCAAGTAAAATCGAAGATTTCGTTCGATGTCATAGTTGTGGATGAAGCTCATAACATAAAGAATTCAGAATCACAGATTGCTGAAACGCTGAAACCGGTGAGTTTTCAGTAATTCTCAATGTTTATTTGTTCCTTAGTTGAGACTCCGTAATAGTTTTGATTTTGGATGAATACCTACAATGACCTTTTAAACTTCGACGACCACAATTTTTCCAGTACAAGCGTGATGGTTGGTTCCTCTTGATGACTGGAACACCGATTCAAAATCATCTCGGCGAGCTCTACTCCTTGCTTACCTTTGTGGACTCGGTAAATTTCCTGTTAACCTTGAATTTATCGTATCGTAATTTATGTATTACCTACTTTTATTCCCATACTTTTTGTCTTTGAATGATTACGTATGATTTTTTTTTGCAGAAACAGTTTAAAGACAACATTAGGTCAAAGAAGTACTTTATGGACAAATACAAAGATGACGCTAATCTTCCTGAACTAAAAAAGATACTCTCGAAGTATCTCATTAGACGTACAAAAGACGTTGTGTGCAAGGAGCTACCAGCCTGTGACCAGGTATGTTGTCTTGGAATACCTAATCGGTACCATAATCAAAATTGTAGGTTGTCATCTATCACAATATCACTGATTTACAAAAACGCCTGTACTTGGATATTATAGCAAGAGATCGAGGTGACTTTATATCTATTTCCTCCTAATTTTTTGAATTTTTTGCTTATTTCTCGGTGCTTTCACCTTGCAAAGTATAGTGATTTCGAAACTGAAAGGAAGAGAGGGTAAGGCATGCTGATCACAGACCACAATCACGCGCAAATACCTTATAGACTACCAGTCAAATATCTCTCAAAGAAAATAAGCTTGGGATCATCCTCTCCCATTCCTTTCCTTCATTGCCTTTTCTCTCGTCACCACCTCTTTTTCTAAAGAAAATTTCGGTCGTGCAAAGTCAAGCTCTCATTCACACTGAGCTGGCTAACCCTAGTTATCTCC